AACTTCGAGCACTACCGTACCCCAATATTTTTAACGGTTTTCAGAGCCGTGCCTTCAGCGCATAGGGGTTCAGAAAATCCCTGTATCTTTTCTTAGGGCCGCATGCACTAACATTTCCGCTGGGGAGGGGATCGCAGCTTCAGAAGAAAGCTTCATATCCTGAAGCTCCGGATATCTGGATTTCACGCTGTCTACATGTCCGTAAGTACTCCCACCATCCTTCACTATGAACATATTGAGCAGAAGCGAGAAGCTGTACAAGCCGCATTTCCCAGCTTTTTGTAGGATCCCCTGATGATCCCTGGGGGACGAACATCTATTCTTCAAAGTCATTTTTCTTTCTCCGAAGTTAACGAAAACCTTCCAAAGTTATACTGAACATCTAACACAACAGTGCTAAGCATGTTGCTGATGAGAACAAATCAATTTTTGAAAAATCGAATTTTTCGGTATACCCCAAATTTCGACCTGTGGATCATCGAAAATTTCATGACTTCAAAACATCATTTGTTCTTATCAGCAACATACTTAGCACTGTTGGGTTAGATAATATGCACAACTTTGGAAGTTTTTCGTCAACTTCGGAGAAAGAAAAATGACTTCAAAGAAAAGCGCTGGGGATCATTAGGGATCATACAAAAGCTGGAAAATGCGATTTGTGCAGGTTCTCGCTCCTGTTCAACATGTTCGTAGTGAAGGATAGTAGGAATACTTACGGATAGGTACTCAACGTGAAATCCAAGTATCTGGAGTTTTGAAATATGAAGCTTTCTTTTAAGCTGCGATCCCCTCCCCGCGGCCATGTTAGTGCATGCGGCCCTTAGAGGACGCGCTTGGGGGGGGGGGGGGGGAGGGGCAAATGCTAATGTGAAGACGGGAAGGATGGCTTAGTAGAATAGTATAAAAGCCTTCATTTGAGCTTTTTGAAGGTAAGTTAATGGGGTGCGGCACCCCCCTTTAAAAGCTGCGGCAGCCGCAGCTTTTGAGGGGGGGGGGGGCGGGTGCCGCACCCCATTAACTATATCAAAAAGACATTTTTAGTAAACATTATTTATACGAATCGTTAGCCTAAACCTCGTAGATTTCATAGGAGTGATTTAAGCCTGATTCGTCTTCTTAAGAGGGAAGGATATTTGGTGACCGTGGCCTTTTGCAACGAGATGTATACCAGTAGGTGCGTCTTTGGACCCCTGATTCTAAATCTATGTTCAGTATCTGCTGTGCGACTTCCTAAACGAAGTTATGGACTTTTTTCCATATTGATTTTGCGAGATTTAGGCGGTCAAGATCATCAGTGTCCAGACTTTTTAGACTCTGACATATCGGTTACAGTTTTTCTGAGCTTAACGTGAAGCTTTCCTTTATCTGTACGCTCTTTTCCAGTGCGTAAATGAGCATTCTAACAATATTGGTGAATCCCGCATCAATATAGGTGCAAATTTTGGCGAGAAGAAATGTTCACAACTTCTTTTGTAAGAGCCAGCAGATATTGAAAACAGATTTGGAATCAGCGCTTCAAGATGCACTCAATGGTGTACGTTTCATTTCAAAAGGCCAAGGTCACCCTTTCCTTGTTAGCTCTGAGTAATATTTAGGGAAAGCACAGCCACTGAAATTTGTAGGTGGGACTTGGCAGTTTTCTGATTCCACAGCTTGGAGGTCTCTTGAAATGGGATTTCTCACGCAAGGAGAGAAGGGGTAGTGCTTTGTATTGAGTGCAAGAAGAGGTAGCTTACTCACCTTTAAAATGAAGTTAATCATGTTTTAAATTCCTGCTTCATACAAGCTCGTTTACTACTTGGAGACCTCAGAGTTCGCTGAAACTTGGGGCATAGGGGTTATTCGACATGCTGGTTACGATAATTATACTTGATTAGCGGTACGGTAGGTTACGGTAAGCATAAGGTATCTGCAAGTTTGTGTCATGGAACCTGAATTTTGCAGGACTTCAATAGCGTCGTCAAGTCAATTTAGTTACACAGCTTGTACAGCGAAACTATATCTCTTCAATTCTGCATTGCATCTTTAATTGAAATAATCAGATTTCTCCAAACACAGCCGGCTGTGTAAATGGCAGCACAGAACAAGACACGCGAACATTTCTACCTTTTTTCCACCTTTCCACCTTCCACCAAAATTGCGAACATTTCCAGTGTACCATCTAGTCATCCATCAGTCTCATCTGGCGAACCATCTATATTTCATAATCTCAACCAAGAGTCCATTTCGTATTTCTCTCGATTACATTGGCTGGGTTGTCAGAGGTAGTTGGGAAAGAACGTGGCACATCTAAACACTTGGCTGCAGTGCTTTTTCCCTTGAAAAACGCTTTAGACCTTGGGTCAAAAGCGGGCCCCCCTCACCTACCCCTTCCCTTACGAGCCCCCGGTGTGGCGTGCCGCACCCCCCGCTTTACCCTGCTGTAGAAAGCTTATTCAAGATTATACTTCTATAAGCTTGCACTATACAATTCCATGAGTGTGAACAACGTAGCTTCGTTCTTGATTTACAGTTGAGTAAAAAATCCAGGAACAATGCAAATGAGTGTCTGGTGTGATGTGCTTTTGTGAGCAAGTTCGTGATCAGAAGGATTTTGAACGAAGATATGAATTTTTTGCGATTTTGTATTTCAGTACAACTCAGATTTTGGGTGTAAACTTACGCTGGGTCGATGCTGGTGCGAACTTTTGCAAACCATCTTGTAGAGCTTGCTTTGCTCTATCGAATGGTACCTTTTTCGGATGTACATAAATTAGGTTTCGAAAAATAACAGATCCGGTTCGAAAATGTCCCAGAGCTTTTGAGCCAACCTAATAGATGTACGATAAGCTAAATCGCAATTAACATCACTCCGAAATCCATTAATCTCTCTCAACCTCAAAGAAGGGCCCTTATGAATTTTGCGGGACCAATGCAGTAAACTTACGTGGTGGTAATGAATTGTAATTTTTTCCAATCATTCTTCAATCGAGAGACCGCTCAATAATCACAAAAATGAAGCTTGCTTCTTATGCAGCTCTCACATGCGCTAGCAATGTGATTTCCTTACTGTGATTTCGTAACAAACCAACAGGCAAATGGGCAAACTAGCGTCTTATTTTGAGTTACGATAATGTGATTGAAGAAGCGAATGACACTGTTGTCTCATGTACAATGTGCCCAATGTGCCTACCTACCTTATGACAAAAGCATAACAAAAAACATATTCATCTTCGCAGATAACAAGTGCTATGTATGAACATTCACTGTACTCTTGAAGGGTGACATCTCGACAAAAGAATCGACTAGTAATCTCAGAACAAACAAGAACTATTGTTCTCAGAGCACACAGCTACCAGCTCAAATGTATAAACGTTGTTATTAGGTTAGCTCACTGAGTGTTCGTCTGAGCAAACACCTGAAAAAAATTTAGGATTTACTACCCACTAGGTATCTTACCTTATCCGAAAGATCGTGGATGTACGATAAGCTAAATCGCAATTAACATCACTCCGAAATTCACTAATCTCTCTCAGCCTCAAAGGAGAGCCCTTAGAATTTTGCAAGACCAGTGCAGTAAGCTTACGTAGTGGTAAGTTTACTGCACTCATGATACCTTCACTTATCGGAAGACGCTCCTCACCGAGCTGAGGTGCATGGTGCCCTTGGGCCTAGGGCTGGTCTCCCTGAAAAGGCGTTGCGACGTGTGTTTTGGCCAATCTGATGAACGTCGCCTCAGCATGATTGCGTTTTCGCTGAAAAATTGGGAGCGCTTCTACAGTATTGTAATAGAGCCCATGACACAAGCATTTCCGTTCGTGCTACACTGAAAAGCAGGGTCTTGGAGGGTAATATCAGAATGATGAGTGTCTTGGCCAACGCTGTGCGTTGAGAAAAAAACACGCGCATGACTGCGTGGTTGTTTTCAATATTTCTTGCTTTTGAGCTTCATGTTTTTCATTACATGACGTTTTCAAAGGTCTCACAAGGTCTATTCGACTTCTTATTGAAGGTTTGTTGATTTTTCATAGTTCAGATAAATGATATTGCACCTTTATTGAAAAAAGGCATTGCTTATGAGCTTGAAGTATGTGTGACTGAAAATACCAGGGCCTTATGAGTAATGTCAAAATGATGAGTGCCTTGGCCAATGCTGTGCGTTGAGAAAAAAACACGTGCATGATTTTGTGGTTGTTTTTAATATTCCTTGCTTCTGGACTTCGTGTTTTTGAACAAATGACTTTTTAAAAGGTCTCACAAGATATTTGACTTTTTATCAAAGGTTTGTTGACTTTTCATAGTTCTGATACATGATATTGCTCACCCTATTGCAAAAATACATCGCATATAAGCTCGAAATATGTGTGACCTTTCGCAAAGTTTTATGTCTCTTCCATTTCCTCTCGTCCACCTTAATTATTTTTTCCTTTTACTTGCACCTCCTGAATACAACGGTAGTGCGGCAGAAGGTTCTGCACTTTTTGAAATGGTGTCACTGCAAGTACCCTAAAATCCCATAGATAAGAGCGGTTTAATTCACTGGTGAAAAATGAATTGGAAGAAATTGAAATTGAATGCAGTCATCCCTCTAACTTTATGGATGGATAAATAAAAATCGGAGAAGAAGTTTAGAAGAAGCTCCGCCCTCAACTCTAAACCCCGCCCACTTAATAAGGAATTCATGTAGGAATTCCGAAATTCCTTCAAAATCGCTATTTTTCTATATGAATTGTTCATTAAGTGGGCGGGGTTTAGAGTTGAAGGGCGGAGCTTCTTCTAAACTTCTTCTCCGATTTTTATTTATCTATCCATCATAGAGGGGTGACTGCATTCAATTTCAAGTTCTTCCAATATATTTTTCACCGGTAAATTAAACCGCTCTTATCTATGGGATTTTATAGAGCACTGCACTTATAGAGCTTGGTTTGACCGAGAGGTCACGATACTCGAACAGAATCTCAGCTATTGAAAAAATAAGACTTGAAAAGTTGTGTGATTATGACGATAAGTTTTCATTTTAGATGAGTGGTTTGAAAGTTTTGTTGATTCTTCTTTCATTTGAATACCTTCACCTGGTATCGCCAGAAAGAGTGAGAACATTTTTTAATTCAAATTAAAACAATCATGTTGACAGACACTTTTAGGGTCCACCTTTTGATCTTTCTCAACAGGAGGGAGGTGATGTGCGAGACCAGGAAACGGAAACGGGAGGTGATGTGCGAGACCAGGAAACGGAATCGGGAGGTGATGTGGGGGACCAGGAAACGGAAAGAACGAGGTGAACTTTGTTGTTGAAGAAAGCAGTTGCTGAGTTACCGCGTGTTCGCTGCAATGGCTTAGTTAGGCTGGCACCGCTTAAAAGCGCGGTTCACCAAAATTGAGGGTGGTGAGATTTCGGAGCTTCATAATAGCGGGACTCCTAATCCAGTGAAAGCCAAAATCGTGCTGCAAAAGATGTGTTCCGAAGCGAGAAGACCGCTGCAGAAGGCAGAAGTAGCGAAGTTGGATAAGTGGGTGGCTTGAATATAATAGTTTGAAAATGGGCTGGACAGATATCGATGAAATTCTAAATAAATTAGCTTGGCTCAAAAATTCGTTTGCGCCGATTTTGAAAAGTTATAGCTCATATTTTCAATGGATTTGCATAAGTTTTGAATATTTTTGAAAGTCTTCCAAACACTCAAACATCTATATAGGAGATAAAAGCCGCAGAAATCATAGCATCTGGCATATCTGATTTTATGACCTGCCCCTTACCCGAGAAGGTTTTGTGCTAATTGTGCATTTCCATAGAAGTAATTTTCGCACAAATGCCAAAAAATCAATTTTGCCGTTTTGTACTCATACACAAAAAAATCATAACTTCCCAAAAATAAAATCAATCGAACGTTCTTGCTCAAACGGACAGACCAGGCCATAAAACCTATAATATCAATTGCTCCGTTTTCATTGCAGGTTTCAGATTTTTGGCAACCACACAGATAAATCAAAGTTTGACTTTCTCAATTGTATTGAGTTTAATTCAGTTTTTTTCTACAGCTTCAATTCCCGCACTGTTTGTGTGTTCGATAGTTCTTGAGAAACTGTTGCATCACGCATAATTTGTTCTTTCAAATAAAGTAAAGATTATGTAAGTCCTGTTAACATGAAAGAAATTATGAAATTTTGAAGATAGTGCGAGCGAGCTTCCGGGCCAACCTAATATAATGAAAGACGACTTAGGATGACTCCAGATACGCTGAAGCTCAATTGCGAATTTGCCATCTTTAGATCGTCATCTTTAGATCATTCATATTAACGGTGGCGCTTTGGCCGTTATAACTTTTAGAGCAATTTTCTTGCTGAAGAATTCATGGTTTGCAGCAAAAGTTGAGCGATTACTTGGAAAGAGGCACCATCCCCAATATGAGTGAACGGTGCCGTCAAACAGGAGCCAGGAACAGTTGTCTTAAGTGCGCGCGAAACTGCTAGCATTGCGCTTTTTTCATCTAATACAGGCAATCTACGGTCATGCAAAGTTGTCTTTACAGAATTCATGGAATGTATGAATCCCATCAAAAAGACTATCGCCTTTGGAAACAGCGAGAAGGTCCATCTTACATTATTCCGTACATGATTACAGGGATTTATAGTAAGCTTTTATGTTACGCTCCTCCAAAACATTGGCAATCACTATTTTACAGACCAGGGAGAGCTGAAGAATATAACTGATGCAATGCAACGCATTCAAAGTAACACATGCATAGTTTTCAGAAAAAGGGGAAGCGAATACCCTTATCTTAAAATACAAAATACTCCGGATGGGTAATCAGAAAAAAATCGTTTTATGCAGCAGAGGCTTTATCGTAGAAATGCGATTTTATTCAGATGCGTCACACACGTTAGAGCTTCTCCAATGCTTTTAAATCTTCAAGCCGATAAACAAGGAACGTAGGTTTTGAGTGGTTTCTAAGGTCGTAGTAATGCACATCCATGCATGAGTGATTAATATAAAGCTAGCAAAGAGCATCGCCTAAGCCAGTGAGCAGCATTTCAGCTATTTCTGTGAGTTGATCACTTTCAGAAAAGGTGCCCAAAAAGTTTAATTTCCAAACCTTTGTTTTTTGCACATGTCATACATAGACTCAAGACCCAGTACTTGAAAGCATGAGCAGCAGCTCTTACCTCCGAACACACAAACGAGATCAGCAAGGAAGGTAAGTTTCAAAGAAGATCAAATTTGTATTACCTTTAGCGATACAGATATTGTTACCACATTGTTACCATACCCAGAGCTGGGTATACTACAAAGTAAAACGTGCGGGTACAGAACAAGCCTTTTTTGCATTACTTCAACGGAAAGGCCGTCAAAAAACCCAATATGCTCCAGTGTAGATAAATGGCCGAAAATATGGCACAAAGGCTCCGGCGTAAATTATTTTTACTTGCTTTAGTCAACCACTGGTGATAAGAACTTAGAGAAAACGGAGGAAACGCAATTTTATCCAGTATCAGTCACAGCGTTTCTAAAGTGTGAATTTTTTGTATTGAGTTTGGAAGCTTGCCCACAAAGCAGAGCGTAGCGCGTAGATAGCAAAAACAAGCTTTGGTATAGTTTAGACTTGCGTTTTGTTTCATCTATATGGAGCTCAGCATCTTTGTATAGGTTTATAGACTTGTATTAGTAGATGATTTGTTTTATCGTTATTAGGAGTTTTTATGTATGTGCTTTAAAGTAGTAAGTGTTCAGTTGCTTGAACGTAGAAACAGTGCTTCACGAGCTGCTTCATGTAGTGGGACTCTCACACGAACATCAGCGTCCCGACCGCGATGAATACATCACAATTAACTACGAAAACATCAGTGAGCAAACAAGAACAGTTTTGATAATGAGGCGAAAGCACTTGAATCTTCTTCAAACTGTTTAATCAGAAAAAGCAAATTTCAGAGAACGGTTCAAAAAGTCAGTTCGATAAGCTTCCCAATATGGTTGCTTTTGGCACGTACAAATACACGTCAATTATGCACTATGGTCCAACAGCTTTTGGAAGAGATAAGACATCAATTACCATAAAAACAAATGATGCACGGTATCAGGTTAGTGCTTTGCCACGACTCTCGGTATACTGATGATAGCTCAGTTTCCCTGTTTTCACACACACACACACACACACACACACACACACACACACACACACACACACACACACACACACACACACACACACACACACACACACACACACACACACACACACACACACACACACACACACACACACACACACACACACACACACACACACACACACACACACACACACACACACACACACACACACACACACACACACACACACACACACACACACACACACACACACACACACACACACACACACACACACACACACACACACACACACACACACACACACACACACACACACACACACACACACACACACACACACACACACACACACACACACACACACACACACACACACACACACACACACACACACACACACACACACACACACACACACACACACACACACACACACACACACACACACACACACACACACACACACACACACACACACACACACACACACACACACACACACACACACACACACACACACACACACACACACACACACACACACACACACACACACACACACACACACACACACACACACACACACACACACACACACACACACACACACACACACACACACACACACACACATTTAGCTTTAGATGCAAGATTTGAGAGCGCATTCAAACCTGACAAACTTTTGCAGCGACCTCGTAGTTTAAAACTGGAAGCTCGGAAAAATTGGGGCAGGGACGGGAGATGCTGCATAGAAGTAGGAAATGTTAATTTACATCATAGCTCACCGACGAGACAAGCCGAAGCCGGGCATACCAAAATCAAATAAAAGGGTGCAGAAAGCGTCTTACTTTACATAATTATTTTTTGAGCGAGTACGCATAACCAGTATTACAGGGGCTTTCGCTCAGAATAATGAACAGCACTATGCATTTAACGTTGCGGAAGCAGGGACGAAAATAGGGTGAAAATCCAAGGATACAAAATATTGGGTTGTCCCGAAAGTTCTGTCGGTTTTTTTTCATCGGTGACTAAAATTCTCTGCACAATTCCAAGGATGACCTAGATAGCTTTCAATTCAGATTTTTAATCTCTTTCTTATACTTATATTTGCTGTCTGATCTGCGCAGTCTCTGCGATGTTATCGTCATGGCTTTTGGAGCAGCATAACAGTAACGCTAATACTTCTCTGAATTTTATGACATTGTATCCTAATATTTTCAAAAAGCGCTGGTAGCTGTTATGTACAGCAAACCTTCAGCTACATTATAGTTTTCAGATTCCATTGACCAGGTTTAAAGTCGTAATAATTATTTATTTGGGAGAAACCGCGGTTTTTTTATCATGTTCACCATATGAAAGTAATTCCAAAAAGCTGTTTTTTAAAGCAAGTCAAACTTGATTATGTTGCACAAATGATGTGTGATAACAATCGAATTTTAGTTCGCAGAAAGTTGAAAGCTTTCATGTTTTTGTTGCATTGCGGTTTCTATGACTTTGAAAAAAATCGACACCTCCAAAGAACCATTCTTTTGATGCTAAAAACAGCAGTTAAGTAAATTCAAAAAAATATTGCTGACTTAAGCATTTCCGAAACTTTGGGGATAAATTTTCCAAAAATTAGCCGAACTTTGAACAAATAGAAATAGCGAGTGAGGAATTTTGGCAATTACGAAAAAACGCGTATGTGGTTGTGGGTTCGATAATGTAACTATAAGAAAGAGAAGAAAAAGTGCATCGTTGCATGTTGTAATGCATTCAGGTCTTTATTGTGCGTGGATTTGTAGTCTTTTGAAAAACCAACAAAACTTTTGGCAACTTAGTAAATTGACTTACATTTTTTACCGTACATTTTGACTTGAAAAAAGTTTTTGCTTCCTTGACTAGTTTAGTCTGCCTATCTACTTCTTACGTCATTTCCGAACCGTGTTTGTTTTTGAGACAAGCAAAAAAGAAAATAGCTTGCACCCATTTTTTTTAAGTTGTAAATCGGACTAAATCCAAATCTCGAAATACCGCCGAAAAATCTTACGCATAGGTAAGCTTCTTTTGATTTTGCTATGTAACCTAAATTTTTTTTCTACTCTGATTTTTTTGCAAAAAGAATTCTTTTTTATGAGGAGGGGGTGATGTAATCAACAACATTTACTGTTCAACCTTACCTCTGGATTTTATCCAGAAGAAGGATTTGGAAGGTAAATGGTGAAGTCCAGTGACTTTGGGGAACACAGGGGATATAAGAGAAACTTGAAAGTTGTCCACATGTTGAAGCAGTGATGGTTTATTATTTCAGGAAGTGATAGGCAAAGCAAAGGACGCCATTCTTGAGGACTATATAAAGGTCTGCACCATATATGGCTGTGTTTGTCACGGAATTCCGTACTGAAGCCACCATTTTCTCCTTAATGCATTGGCACATAATGAAGATGAAGTTTGAGTACAGTTTTGAACTGCAGTAATCGTACCAGCTCAGTCTTCTCATTTCAATCTGTCAGTTGATTTACTTACTCAGATGGTCCCCTTTTACGTGACGGAGAGCCCCAGCGCAAAAGTTTTTATTGTTTCCTGTTCTTGGCTTTGAATATTCAGGCTCTTTTCAAATCGTGGGCTGCGTTCTTGAGTTCCAAGTGCAAAAGTCGCGATCAGCTAATCTTAGAACTACTCCATCCGTGCTACCAACATATCTGCTCATCTTATTGGTAGTTTTTTTTTTTCGGAAAAGTACTGTTTTGCAAGGAATGAACTTACAGAGGATTAAAATTTTAGTGTTGGCGTGACTTGAGTCTTCGTGAGTCGCGCCGAAGACCCGAATCGCTTGAGCCACTCGACGCGTTTGCCCTCAGCGGTTAGCCTTAGGCGTCAACGGCTCACAGCTTTGGAAAGTGTACCGAGACAAAAACGCGTCAAGTGGCCCAAACAAGGCAGCTCGACTGTGACACTCAGATTGGAATCCCTGTAAATGTTCTTAATGTCCAGCTGTCGTATGTTCTTCTCATAATGTGACCGGCCCATCAATCTTTCGATTGCCTCGTATTGCGCTAGATCACGAAGACGGGACATCATTTTTATATACGTGCTAGAAAATTCCGACGAAATGTTGCTTGTGTCTAACAACCTTGAGAACACTGCGCTTTCCTTAAGGCTTTCGACGTGACTACAACTGAGCTTTCGACGTGACTACAACAACGTGACTGCATCGAAAAGGTAAGCGCGAAGCTTTGACTCTTTCAGTTGTGGCTCTTGTGGCAACCATCAACTGAAAGGTGAATGGATGTGTTGATGGTGCCTTCCTTCAAAAGTGAAAGCAACCCATGCTGCTCCTACATGATTCTTTATTCACTTCGTTTTCCATGTCCATCTAACTTTCTAGGTGCACGTAAGAAGACGTCTTCGCGATGGGGGAAAATGGATGCCTTCCAAATTTAACGCCTTATTTTGCTTGTGTTCTCCATGAACTTCCTTTTATTGCGAAATGAATTCCAGACACGTAAGGGTTACGCCGGACTGTGCCGCATGCGTGGCGCTCCTCGCACAGCCTGGAGCAAACTTAGGTGTTAATACAGTGCTGGACGTAATTATAAAGACACTCTAGAGATCGTCGTAATTTAAGTTTTTGTTGATGAACCTGTCTGAAATTTCGCTATTTAGTGCCATGATAGCCTTCTATGACCCCTCAGAGCGGCTTTCAAGCTCAAACAGAAAAATAGAAAAATTCGAAGGAGCTCCTACTGAAAGCTGGACAAAATTATAATGACGACAGAAGAACGACATGATTTTTCCAGAATTCACCAGCCCTTCCTCCTATGGAAAGATGCCTGTGACTACTTTTTAGCGCTACGTAATCTACAAAAAAATACTATCGAAAGGTCCTTGCTGGAGTCTGCTAGGGGCAATGCGCGCTGCTTTACACCTTCACTAAAAGACGTTTACAGAAAGATTTGAGAATATTGAAATCGGAATACCAAGGATATGCTGTATATCGAAAGACTTGCCTTAATGAACTGAGCACAAAGCTTTCTTCGGATTCAGAATATGTTCATTCCGAAGGAAGTTACGGCGAGTAGAATTTAGAAACGCGTGATTTTTCCAAAATTCACCAATGCTTCTATCTCTTTTGGGAGACAGTCTGCAGCTTCTCTTGAACGCGCGATAACCTACAAGCATACCTTCGATACATAGAGCCATGTACTCTGGTAACCTTCACTTTGAGCGTCATGATAGAACACGACCTTCATCTGGGGAGAAGTACAGAAGTCATCCGGGGCGAAGCCCCGGAAATTATGACATAACTAATGATATAACCGTATAGGGATGAATTTAAATGAGGCATATATAGCAGTGACATTCAAAAGAAGCTCAAAAAACCGTAGGATTGCGTTTTCATGGCCTTTTTTGTTGAGAAAAAGGTTTTTATTCAAAGATTTAATCAAAAACTAGGGCAAAATTTCTCAACTAACCTTTCTCTGAACTGCAGTTGAATGTTGGAAATTTATTAAAGCCGCTAGAGTTCAATAAAAACGAAAAACTGCTCTCAAATCTTGCGCAAAGAGTCACCATATGAATGCTGGTCTACCTCGTTATGGAGTGATTTTCAAGACCCGCGACGTTGTTAGTGCTCCTGGCCGTCTCATGAGGATCACAACGATATATAATTTTGCGGGGTTTCGTTGAGATCCTGCAAAGATCCACGACCAGAGCCAAATGCCCCGTCGTCTCTGGTCTGTCTCCGCTGCTCGTCTGCGTCTCCGCGCGCTGCGCGCTCCCTCGCTACCTCAAATGCGGGGCACGGGGCATTTGGCTCTGGTACCCTTTTCTTCGTTGTTCGGAGCCCAATTTCGATAATCTATATATCATATTAAAGCTCTTGATCTCTATTTTCACGCTGACAACGTCGCGGAACTTCTTTTTAGGATTTAAATGAGAAATCCTCGAAAAACGGCGTTTTCGAAAACCTCTTGTTTTTTCTTCAGTTCAACTTTTTTCACTCGGTTTTTTTGTGCATTCGATAGGTCTTGTTTCTGTCTATGATGTAGACAACGTCGCCGAGCTTACTTTTTGCTTATGTCGTTTTTTTTTGCGGAAAATACAAAAAAGTGCGTTTTTCTTTACCTTGTTCTCTTTCTGTGCTGCTTTTGCAGCAAATTTTTTCCAGCTTGGACGATACTTGCTCAGAATGATGAGCGGAAGAATCCAGACAACGTCGCAGCGTACGAAACGACTATGCGGGGGTGAAAATTTAAAGGACGCATCAAAAATCAGATTGGCGTCGATGTGCAACACAACTTTACAGACATGTTTAACATGTTCAATTCAGTTGTTGACAAGTTCTTCTTCTTTCGGTCTCCCAACTAACGCCACAGCTAAACAGCGCTTTTTTTGACTGGAAAAGAACTTGTTGTTGCCAACCAATTTTTACCGGCAAACCTGGAGACGAAACTCTGTGTAGGAAACCACCAAGTTGAGGTTTCAGATTTGGTGATGTGCTAACCTCTGCTTTACATGAATTTTCTAAGTTTTCTAATTTAATTTGTATCTCTAAATTTTCGTCTATTTTTCTGAAACAACCTTCACTTTTTATAGGGGGCAAGAACTCAAACAACTATCACATTCTAGCCCTTGTTTCTTGACTATCGAAGGTATGCCTACAAGGACAGTACTATCGAACAGTGCTTACTGGAATCTTTTATGTTACACAGATGCTGCGTTACATCCTTGCGAAAAGACCTCCACAGAAAAAATTCGAAAAAACTGGAAATGGAATATCGAGAGCATACTGTAAATCAAAATATTTGCCTCGACAATCTGAACACAATGCTGCTTCTGGATTCGGAATATATTCATTCCGAAGGAAGTTATGGCGTTGCGTACTCTGCGTGATTCGCATGGTTTCGCGGACCCTGAAATGTCGCGAACTTCCTGGATTATCGCGCACTTTGGCGGAAATCCCGGAATTCCGCGAAGTTCACGGAAATTTTGACATTCTGTGGGCGGTATTGTGATCTTGAGCAGATCTTAGAGCAAATTCGATCAGAGTGGCTCTCTACCATACTTCTATAGTATACTGTCTATGTGTCATCAGCGACAGATCAATGGTAATACTGTTATCAGCACACTGAATTCAATCAAAATTATAATCGATAATTCTGAAAACTAATATTGTATTCGGAATCCCTAGCTCGATTACCCCCCTGTGCAAACTCCCAGCCCCGCAGCTCAAACTTTGCAAAAAAATCGATAAAATAAATAAAAGTAATCGATAATTCTGAAAACCAATATTGTATTCGGAATCCCCATGCTCGATTACCCCCCTATGCAAACTCCCAGCCCCGTAGGTGAACTCTGCAAAAAATCGATAAAAATCGATAAAATCGATATCAATCAATGACGAAAAGTAGGACACCCGCCGGGGCCCGAAGTATATGTGTGCCAAGTTTGGTCCGGATCGGTTCAGAAATGGATTTTTCTATTCGGAACATACGTACAACAAACAGACAAACAGACGTTCAGCTTCATATATAAGATGATGCGTCTCGTCGAGCTGAATCGAACGGTGTCCTTGAATTCAGAATTCGTCCATTCTGAAGCGAGATATGACTAAATTGACGATCATTCCGGCGCACTGCGGCGGTGTGTGGCGCACTCTGCCGCACTCTGCCGCACTCCGGCGCACTCTGCCGCACTCCGGCGCACTCTGCCACACTCCGACACACTGTGGCGGAGTGTGGCGGAGTGCGCCCTTTTTTGACGAATTATGAGCGGTATTGTACTATGCATATACCTGGTGACATTTCGACCTAAATAAGAAAGTGTTGGACCCACATCAAAAGTTTTTATGTCATCAGCTCAGCCTACCTGTCTCAACGTTCGAGCAACTACAGTTTCGATAACCGGACCACGATCCTCATGCTATAAATGGACCTACAATTTATATATGCTATACAAATGAGGTGATGAGGATCTCATTGGTCACTTGCCCCATCGATAATCAGTAATTTTACTAAAAAAATTCAGAGATTTGTCACTAGCGCCTTTTCTAGTAACCACATCCCATTTTTCTGGGGTAAGCACCAACACCTATAAATGTGGAGAGATTGTCACGAGGAAACGTAGGTAGAAATCAAAACTCACCTGAGTTTGTGACAGCTCCATTTCTCTCTCATTGCTCTATCTTTTCTCCACAGCTCCACTTTCTCCATTCGACATCCTATGCTCATGATTAGTATTGGAAATCGCGACCATGGCAATGTTTGTTTTGCCTGAAGGAACATCAAGTAAACAGTGCCATAAAGTGGCTGATGCATGCTTTTATGTCATGAAATGCTTATAAAACTTGCAGTGTTGCCATACTCACCGGCGCCAGTGGGTGCACAAATCAACAAGTTTTGTTTGGTTTTGTATGCCTGCTCAAAAACAATACTCCGGATTACATTACGTCTCTCGAACCCTTGAAA